GGCGGAGCAGAGGGTGCAGCCGGCCCGTATCATTAAGGTGAAGGCCCACAAGAAGGGGACGGAGGAAGCCAAGTGGAACAAGGAGGCGGACGCCAAAGCCAAGCAAGGTGCGAAGGAAGGGCTGATGTGGAAGGCCAGCAAGCCTTCCTCGGAGAATGGCCCCATGTTGGTGGCTCCCAGCAGACACTGGGAGAGTGCAGACCTGCTGGGCTTGCAAGCGCAAGACCCCAGCATCCAGGAGCTAGTGAAGGTCAAGGAGTACAAAGGGTGCAAGGTGTGGAAGGATGTCTCGGGGTTGGTCCTGGCACGGAGGGAGGGGGCTGACTTCCCAGTCTGGGTGGTGCCTGAACTGGTCCGGATAGAGCTGGTGGCCCTGGCTCATGAGCAGGGGCACTTGGGGACAGATAAGACCATGGTGAGGCTTCAGGGCACTGGGTGGTGGCCCGAAATGAGAGAGGACGTGGAGAGGTACGTCGGCAACTGCCTGACGTGTGCAGCCAACAATCCTGATGCCAAAACGGCGAAGGCCCTCCTGGGCCACCAGAGGGTTTCCGGGCCGTGGAGCAGGTTGCAGATGGAGTTTATTGGCCCTTTGCCCCAAACAGCCCAAGGGAACAGGTACTGCCTGGTGATCAGCGACAACTTCACCAAGTGGGTGGATGCCTTTCCGGCTCGAAACAACACAGCCAGCATCACTGCAAAGATCCTGGTAGAGCATGTCTTCTCGCGGTGGGGGGTCCCAAAGGAGATCGATTCGGACCACGGCCAACGCTTCATCGGAGAAGTCACGAAAGGGGTGTGCCAAGCCCTGGGTATCAAGCAAAGGCTTCACATCACAGGGCATTTCCAGAAGCCGAGCCCAGCAGAGGGGCCCAACCAACCGCTGAAGACGGCACTGAGAAAACTCGTGAACCAGCAAAGGAAAAACTGGGATCAGAAGCTCCCGCTGGTCCTGCTGGCGTTACGGGGGGCTGCGGCATCTCACCTGCCTTCTCCCCAAAAGCTGCCTCCTGCAAGAGATCCGAACCCGCCAGGACACTGGTGGCAAAGAGGGGAGCTGCCGGATGAACTGCAGCCCCGCGTGCTGACAGATAGGTGGGTCCAGGAGATGCTGAGGACCGTGTCGGCTACATACCACCAGCTCACCTCGGTGCAGGAGATGAACATCCCCAAGATGGATAAGCAGCTGGGAGCGCTGATGCGCCCCACGGAGTGGAACACGGGGGACCTGGTGATGTATCGGGGGGTTAGAGAGAAGAATCAGGTGCTGGTTCCCCAGTGGATGGGGCCCGTTAGGGTGGTGAACAAGGCCAGCCCCTCCACGTACCAGGTAGAAATCAGAAAGGGGGCGAAAAGGCAGGAAAAATGGCTCCATTCCTCGCAATTAAAAGCATGGAAGGGAAATTAACGGGGCTGGAGAGCCCGTCTTGCTTATGTTTTGCAGATAAAGGAAAATGGAAGGAGATTGTGACCAGCGGGAAGGGCGAACTTCGCTGCATCGCCAGCCCTGTTTGCGCTGCGGGGAAAATGCTTTCAAATTTCTGATTGCAGGATTTGCTTTGCTTTCTGGTATGTGCATAGTGCTGAGCACCCAACACGCCCAACCGACCCTTCAGCACCTCAGCCAAAAAGTCAGTCGTTCCCACTTCGAAAGGCACCCCGAAACACGGGCTACAGCCCAGCACAGGGTTAGGAGGTACACAAAAATTGGGACCGATTGGCCCTGGTCTCAGGCTCATATAAAATATACGGGAAGCATGGGTTTAAATTCTAACAAAGGCTTAAATTTGTCAACGGTGGTTATGCACGGGACGGAGGTGTACTTGGAAAACGAGTGGAGCTGGGACAGCACAAACAGGCTCCCGCAGCTGCTGGGGAAGGTGGGACAAGAAATAAAGGTAGGGTGCAGGGTGATTAATGGATCCACTCATCAGCGGGTAACTCAAATCTCCGTAACCGAGATAAAAACTAAGAAGAATCAGAAAAAAAACTGTGCTGTAGAAAAATCGGACTGTTGGTGCAATTTTACTTTGGTCCAGCCAGTCTTTGTGGTGTGTCTCTGGGCCCAGGACAGCGTGGGGCTGTCCTTTAAATTCAAGATTAGCACCGTGACACACTCCTTTGCTGCCGTTAAGATCTCAAAGTGCCATTTTTTGGCCTGGCATGCAGCTCAATATGCTGAAGTTGGCAACCAGGTAAAATTGGAAATTAAATACTCCCAAGAAGGTATAACCGACCCGATGCAAATCGACGGCACCACCGTGACTGTCACCGGTCCTAATGGCCGCAAGTGGGTCGTGCCGGTCAACTGCCTCCGCCAGAGCAGAACGCTTAGTAGATCTGAATTAGGCGTGGAGGCTTCGTGGTACAATCGGGATTACGGACGCTGCCCACACCTGGTCATAAACCTCCAGGTATGGTGTCGAGGAAACCTGAGTGTAGAAATGTCCCCTGAGCTTGGAGGAAAGTGGTGGATAGGAGGCCCTGAAGGATTTAAAAAAGAGTTCACCATCACTGCCATCTTGCGCCCCTTTGTTTCCAAAATAGGCCCTTACGTAGTCAAGCAAAATCACATCCAGGAGCTGTTAACCGGGCCTGTCCGATCACTGAAGAAGGTAGTGTTGTCTCTGTCCACCGTTAACATTTCCTCTGTCAGACCACACTGTACCCCCTTCCTGTCCACCCTCCACACCGGCTGGCGGGCGTGGCTCCCCAGCCGCTCCATCCAGGGGACCCGGGCCAAAAGAGACCTGCTGGCCACAGCGCTGGGAGGAGGAGGCGCTGGGCTGGGGGTCCTCAACAGCATGAATGTTGAGGTCTTGGCCAACAAGTTGGAGGCTGTCACCTCGGGGGTACAGGGCCTCCTCAACCCCCTGAATTCATCCCTGGCCAGCCTCGGGATGGGGCAGTGGCTCGTGTCAGAGGTGTTGCCCACCTGGGAACAAATAAGCGAGAAAGACCACCAGATGCTGTTGCGAGCACTGGGCATCGAACAAAATAACGTCTCTCTTGCTCTTAGTTGCATCCAGGCCCAGATGTGGGTGCAGAGTGTCGTTGCAGGTATCCTGAGAGACGGCGACAACGGCGTCCTCCCCACCGAGATCCGGAAGATCGTGTGGGATGCAGCCACGGAGAAGGAGCAGCAGCTCCAAGCCTGGTGGAGGCTGGTCAACTTCACCCACGACCAGGTCCTCAACGCGGTCATCGCCCACGTCCTGACTGTGGCTGAGGCTCGCATCGAAAAGGTCTACCCCATCGTGGCCCTGGGGGTTAACACAAACGGTTCCGTGGTCTACCCCCTGGACCACCGCATGTGGGCAAGGGTGTCTGGTGGGAAATGGCAATCGGTGGATTTGGAAGCCTGCATTTTGGAAAGGGGGCTGGGATTCATATGCGAAGATGATGCCCTTAAGGCGAGCGACGTTTGCTTTGACACTAAAGAAGGGGTGTGCCACTTTGAGATCAACCCCCAGAGC